ATGTTGCTAATTATTTAGAAGCTATTACCCAGAGCCTTATTCTAGATCCAACTTGCTTTGAAAGGGAGAGGACCCTCTTTCCAAGAAAGGGGAGACACTCAGCCCCATAGTATGTGGAATGAAAGTCTGCAAGAACAGTAGAGCTGGCTAGGCCTTCTGCCAAGAGAGGGGCTGCCCCATCCTTCCTGTGCGCCAGTCACATAAAAGGGGAGAGAGGAAGGAGTCAGAGAGAAGCACGTCTGGGCCTTGTCTTCAGCAGGAACAGCCCCTGGTCCTGGTTCACCTTCAAAGGCCATCTTCTCCAAGGGCTCTGATTGTTAACGCATCTCAGCAAAAATATCACTTGTGCTGCATACCAGCTTTAGAATCTGTTAGCCATGGGGGTAGAGGGTGAAGGGTACCAGGTGCTCATTTAGAGTAATGTTTCCCAACATGTGGTTGGGCATTGCCATATAGCACCAGGTAATGTCAGGCGACCTCCCAACCTGTATGGGGCAGAGGCAGCCTCTGCAGGGCAGCCAAGGCAATGCAGGGAAGAAGAGAGATAGAAAGAAACAGGCTTAGGGAGAGATGGCCAAAGGACCTCCTTTTCCTAGACGCTGGTGCCTCTTTCTCAACCATTAGGATTCTGAATACATCTTGAACCTCACTTATCCATTAAATCAACCAACAATCATATACGTGACTTTTTGTTATTGAATGGCGTGATTATGAACTCAGCCATGACCCTCACTAAACATGGGTCAGGAAAACACTTAGAAATCCCTTGCAAGCATCTCTTCATAATGTTCAAACAGGATGGTGGGTGTGTGCACGGGTAAGGCAATTTGCCATTTACAGAAACTAACAGCTGGACACACTCAGAAAAACAGACTCTGGATATTGCTCCTGGTGGCTCTGTCTTCACAAAAAAATTGTTAAACAGAAGTCACTTATATCATGAATCTCAATGCCTAACTCTATCAGGAAAGGTACAGATAAATGGATGTAATTTGCCTTTTCTATGTACAATCTTAACAGAAAATTCCATCTTCATCCTAAGCTTCGTGATGCTACACTGAATATTCCTGTGGAACTATGGGCAGTTCACTGATTCTCATTGAGGATTGTTTTTTTTTTTTCCAGTATGAGTTCTATAAACAATTACAGTGACTATAACTTATTAAATTTAATTTAAACGTTGCTATTATTTAGTGGGCTTACTTTTATAGCAAATGATATAGATTTTCCATTTAAATAAGCTATAAACATTCATTTTAAACAATGTTTTATTAGATCAAATCATTTTTTTTTTTTACTTAAACAGATCAATATTTAGCAGAGGTGTTTTGTGTTTATAGGGAAACTCAAGATGATAGTAAATGAATGACAGCAGTTCAAGGCTCACTTCTCCCCCTGGTCCTCCCTGGAGGAAGAAGCTACAGTGACCCAGACTTAGGGGTGACGGATGAAAAGTTACTTCCGGTGTGAAGATCCTGAGTGTCAGTGGAGCCCACAGAGGTGTTCAAGGACTTAAGATCTTCTGGGAAGACAAGGTAAGGCAGATGAAACATGAAATCCGTACACAGCAGGTCCTCGAATAACATGGTCTCGGTCAATGTCATTTTGTTATGCTGTTGATGAGATGCTGTAGGAACTTAACGCTTCTATATCAATTAGCCTATGGCAAAACTGGTTTCATCGTTTTGCTTAATGTCGCAGAACTTATTGATGATATTAAGTGAGGACTTACTGGACTTATTTTTAGTTTCTAAAATAAACCCATATAGAACATAAGCAAATGACATTTTCTACATTGCATTTAGCAATAATGGGTCCCATGCTATGAATTCCCTAAACCATTTATTACATGATACACGCTGCTGTGAGATCATCCTTCCCTTCAGTTAGCATATAGAATCCATGCCAAGAGCACTGTTCCTCACTCTCTTGCTGTGCGCTCTCTATTCTAGTGGACTTGACGTTGTAGGCTCCAGGCTCTCAGGTTCTGTTGCCCAGGAAACACTATCATCCCAGAAAGAAGTGATTATTAGAGGATAAAGATACTTAGTTATGCAACAAGTCTTTCCCGTTGATTGAAAGCACAGGCTAAGTGGGAATTTCTTACCTCCCATCCCCAATTCCCCATCTTAAACCATCCCAGCCCTGTCCATAATTCTTCATGGTTAACTCATTACCAAATCCCTTTCACATGCGTCTCAGGGGCCATAATAGAGTTCTAAAGTCTAGATGTCCTTTTTAAGTCATCTCTCCCAGGGTAATGCAGCACAGTGACAAGAGAACAATCACCTTGTAAGTCCAATGGACATGGATTTGAATCTTGACCCATCATTCAATGACCATGTGCCCCAGGACCAAATATAGGCGCTCTCTGAATCCAGAGCCCTCATCTGCAATGGGAAAATAACAGTATCTTCCTACGAGGCTGTTGTGAGGATTAAATGAGATAGCATAAAGGGATTATTAGCATAGTACCTGGTACACATTAAATACTAATATATGTTTAATTTTAGTAATAGTATTTTATTACCAAAAGGTGAAAGACACCTTCTCTTTTCTGTCATCTATTTTATCTGCCATTGACTCCATTTTTCATTTTTAACCATAATTTCTTTTGTCTGTCAGATAGCAACAATTCATATAAAAATCCTCTTAAATAAAAATACATATGCATAAGTGATCCACATGTTATATAAATAATCATATATGCAGGGGAAAATACTGTATATTCAGGTCAATTGGACTTGGTTTTCCCAGATAGTTCTTATTCTCCACTGCTATGATGATTTAAAATTTGGAAAGCCTGAGTAAATTGCTTTTTAATTTTTCTTTTTAAGAATTTGAATGTTTGTTAGGGAATGAAACTGATAATTGCACAAGGATTTGATATAGTATTCAATGAAAAGGCTCATATATAAAGTCTGTAATCATAGCTCAGAATGATTCTGAAGTTGGTACAATTATGTACAAATTTTAGAAACGTATAGGTAGGGGATTGTGGAGCACACAATTCTGGTGAAATCAATTCACTACAACTAAACTGGGGCAGGGCCCACCCTTTAGAATTATAATTTGTAAATGAAGCTCTAGGTCTTTGATTTTGTTTCTTTGTTTTGGTTTGAGATTGTTTCTTTTGAGGTTGTTTTCATAGTTTTTGGTTTTTATCTCCAATCACAGCCCATGGCTAAGAGAACAGGTGCATAGTTTCTTTATACTTTCTAGATTCCTAGTCTTCATTCATCTTTTAAAAAATATTTATTTGTATTTTTCAATTACATACAATATTATATTAGTTTCAGGTGTACAACAGTGATTAGACATTTATATACCTTATGAAGTGATCATCCCCATTAGCCTAGTACCCACCTGACACCATACATAGTTATTACAATATTGACTATGTTCCCTATACTTTGCATCCTTGTGACTATTTTTATGACTTATTTTTGTACTTCTTATTCCCTTCACCTTTTCACCCATCTTTCCAACCCCCCAACCATCTGGTAACCATCAATTTGTTCTCTGTATCTATGAGTTTGTTTTGTTTGTTCATATCTTTTGTTTTTTAGCTTCCGCATATAAGTAAAATTATATAGTATTTGTCTTTGTCCAACTTATTTCACTCGGCATAGGTCCATCCATATTGTCCCAATGGCAAGATTTCATTTTTTATGGCTAATATTCCGTTGTGTATGTGAGTGTGGTAGTACATCTTCTTTGTCCACTTGTCTATCGATGGAAACTGATATTGCTTCCATATCTTGGCTATTGTAACCAATGCCACAATGAACACAGGGGTGAATATATCTTTTCAAATTGGTGTTTTGGGTTTCTTCAGATAAATACCCAGAAGTGGAATGCTGGGTTATAGTGTAGCTCTATTTTTAATTTTTGAGGAACCTCCATACTGTTTTCCATAGTGGCTGCACTAATTTACAATCCCACCAACAATGCATAAGGGTTCCCTTTTCTCCACATCTTCACCAACACTTGTTCATTTATTTATGATAGCCATTCTGACAGGTGTAAACTGATAGCTCATTGTGATTTTAATTTGCATTTCTCTGATGATTAGTGACCTTGAGCATCTTTTCATGTGTCTATTGGCCATCTGCATGTCTTCTTTGGAGAAATATCTGCCCCATTTTTTAATTGGATTGTTTCTTTTTGATGGTAAGTTGTATGAATTTCATATATATTTTGGATATTAACCCCTTATTGATATATCATTGGCAAATATCTTCTCCCATTCAGGTTTTTTCATTTTGAAGATGGTTTCTTTCACTGTGTAAAAACCTTTTAGTTTGATGTATGCCCATTTATTTTTTCTTTTGTTTTTCTTGCCCAAGGAGATAGATCCAAGTAACATTGTTAAGAGTGATATCAAAGAGATACTGCCTGTTTTCTTTAAGAAGTTTTATGGTTTGGATCTTACATTTGAGTTTACTCTTATATATAGTATAAGAAAGTGGTCTACAATAATTTTATATTTTTTGCATGTGTCTGTCCAGTTTTCCCAACACCGTTTATTGCAGAGGATGTTTTTACCCCATTGTGTATTCTTGCATGCTTTGTCATAGATTAATTGACCATATAGGAGTGGGTTTATTTCTGGGCTCTTAGTTTTTTCTTCCTCCTTGCAAAATAATTTTACCAGAGTGACTTTCAAATAGGAAAAAAGAGAAAAAAAGCTAAATACATGTATGGTAGGTTTATCTAACTTGGAAGATTTCCATAAATAAATGTTTACATGACCATTAGAGTAGAAAAAAATAATTCAGTATCCCCATAAGATGGTAAATATGACATCCATTTCATCCTAGTATTTGATGGTTTCTGATTTTCTCATACACAAATAAGAAAAATCATTAATATCTTTCCCCCACACCTTTTTTCAAATTTTCATTGAGAAATTACTGAGATTCTTAATCAACATTTATACAGTTTAATCACCTTGGACATAACTGGCAGAATTCTAATGTATTCAAGAACTTAACAAGTTTCAAAGATAAAGAAACAGAACACTTTATTATAAAACTTATAAAATAATTAAATATTACATATATTTTGACTTTTCTCTATAACTCATGGTTTTATTCAACACTTTTCCTCAGAATTAATATCACTCAGAGAAGCAAGTGAGAACACATAATAGGCTATTAATTAATAAATTAATTTTTCCATAAAATAATAAAATGATAATTATATAAAGTACAAATAACTTGCAATTTTTTCAGGGGGCAAGGGGTGATGATGTGGAACTTTTTTCCGATGATAAAATGACCACTACTCTAGGCCAAGACAAGTAGGTTGAAGGAATATTCTAATGATTTCTCTACGACTCCAGAATACATGATTTTAATTAGAATGGGAACAAAGGATGCTCTAAATTTAACAAACCACTGTGTAGTTGGTTGTGCTGAGCTGGCAAATCCCTGTTTGAATTGAGACTTTTTAAAGCAGTAAAACTGGGTTACTTTCATCAAAGAAGTTGAGGAATAGAGTAGAATTCTATAAATATGTCTTTTATAACCACATCTCAAAAAAACTACAGAAGGACAGTCTTGTAAGTGACTTTGGTTTTGGCAAAATAGTGTGGTGTTTTTCCAATTGAGAACAATTTTAAGCTCATTAGTGCCAACCAACAACTGGCTTTTGAAGACTGAAAATATCATCTGAAAGATGGTAAAATACTTACTCATTGAAGGGTCTTGGCATATTATGATTTATTAATATTAACATAGCAGGAAGACAGACGGGTTTTTCTATTGCCACTATGACTTTTTTCCTTGTTAACTAAATCCTAGGGCAAATTTAAACATGTCAGTTGGTAGGAAACCACCACAAGTGGCCTTTAATTTTCCAAGCAGCTCTGATAATATGTAGGAAGCATTACAAATGATGGTCTCCTTTCCTCCAGCACACTGACATTTTGCTATTTAACTCCTTCTGGATTTTTACCAGGAATGGATATCTCACCCATTCCGATTCCCAAAGAGCAGACTTGAGCATCCTGTCTACTTGTTCAGCTAGCACCAAAAGTTATGAGGTTGATATAATGTGTAGAGCACCAATAGTTGCCTTTCTTATGAGCTTTTTTTTTTTTTTCAGAGTGTGAATTTCAATTAAACGGAGATCTTAAGTAGTCCATGTTGCCCTGTGTTCAGAATATTCCTTGGGACACTTTTCAAGTTGTGAATTTTAGTCTTGGAGACTTTCTGTAAGCAGAATATACCTTAAAAACATAATAAAAACAACACACGCACACTGAATAAACATAACATGAGGCTTGCTAGTCCAGCAGCAAGCACAATTGTGAGCACCATTTGGCTTCTTGTGTAACTCCTGGTTTGGGGTGTCCACAGTTGCAGTCAAACTGTGAGCTCCAAGTCAACGTTAACCTCCATATTTGCTTCCTCCAACCCTCAGCCTATGGACCTGAAGTCTTAAAGGACCTTTTCAAACAGAGGTCTTTGCCATGGAGCCCTGTCAAAGTCAGAGGGGGATCTGTCCCAAAGTTGACGTATCTCAGTGTGGTTCATCACTTCTTTCGCGTAACAGTGCAAATCAATGTTTTGTTTGTCTGTAAGTCAGATTTGTCATCGCTTCCCATTTTCAAGTGCTTTAGGGTACCATGTGCTTTGGGGAACCGAATCAGAAGCCTGTCTGTTCTTCAGAGCCGGCTCCTCAAACACTGCACACTGCATGTGAGCTGCTGGTGCCTCCAGAGGCTGAAAGGTGAGACCTGGGCCCCGAGGAGCTGGGCGGGCATCAGCTCTTCCTTGTGCAGGACTTGCAGCACTGTTTACCATAAAATTTGTGGTTGCAGACACCGTGTTGGGGCACGAGATGACACCAGCTGAAGAAATCGACACAGGATGGGTCCTCTAAAAGGAGAAAACATATTTAGCGTGCTAGGAAAAGGTGCAGCCTCATTTCAAAAGATGGGCGCCTATGGCTCCACGCGTCTGTCTGTGAGCGCTCTCCTCATTGGCCATCAGGACTTCGGCACGAGAGTGGGGAAAGCAGGGTTAGGACACCACATGGGACTAATGGCCATGAGCAAAATGCAAACAGGCGGGGGAAAGTCCTATCTAGCCAGAGATTAATGTTTGCTCCTCCCCAAGTAGCCTGTGAGGTGCCATTTAACATCAAGAGGACACACCTAGAACAGCACATCCAGAATCCCCTGAGGATCTTGTAACATCACTGGTTCTGATTCGGGAGGTCTGTGGTGAGGACCCAGATGCTATATTTCTAACAAGCATGCAGGGTGCTGCTGCTGGTCCACACGAGCAAAGAGCTTCATGTGTTGAGAGTTGGGACACCTGGGTGGGAGGTCCAGCTGCCAACACTGTAGGTTTCAATAAATCTCAGAGCCAATTTGCAGCTAAGTGGACTTAAGTCGACACCAGTCCTTTCTAACTTCTTTCGTTGTTTAAATAGGATAATGGATTTCATTATGGATGGGAAGCAGGACATTGTACATCAGGGATTCTTATCCAGAAGGGCCTCATGAGCTACAGAATGTACATGAAATTGTAAGTAAGATGTCCTTTATGTCAACATAAACACATGCTTGAAGAATTAGGGCCCAGTCGTTTTACTAGATTGTCAAGGATTTTTGACTTCAAAAATATTTAGGGTCTAACCTAAACGTAAATACATGTTTTGATTCACAGCTGGGGTGGTTGTCCCCTCCTCTATGCAAGCCTGAAGTTGCCTTTACCTTTAGCTTAACAGAAACCACACACTGCCCACAGGTACCCACTCATGTTCCTTCTGAATTCATCCTCAGTGGCTCTCCACGGTGCAAAGCTTTCCTGCTGCTCCCAATTTGCAGCCTATTTTTCTGTGATTCAGAGCTGCCTACAGTTCCTTCTTGGAGCCCTCATTCTTCTGCCGAAAATTCCCCTTTACACACACATCCCATCACATGGTGGCCCCAGTGATCCTTTGAAAACGTAAGCCATGTCCCACCTCTGTTCCAAACTCTCCCAGCCACTCAGAATACAAGGTAGTTCTTACAATGGCAGACAAGGCCCCAGGATCTACTTCCCACAGTCTTTGTATGAATGGGTATGTCTGGGCTACCTGCCAAAAGGGTGGAAATTTGAAATCATTGATATGTGAAGAAAGGAGGACATGGCCATGTTCTCCCAGACCACTTGCTCAAAATGCATGTTTCTTTCCCCAGAAGCTTTCTGTTGAGAAAGGCTGCAGGTTTGTACAATTCTATTGCCTAGAGGTCGTCTGGCTCTGAGCAACTGCTCTATTACTAGCCTTGTGCAAGCCTCAGATAAGATAGCAGAGGAAGGAAAAGTGATGCCCAGAGCCAAGGCTATATAAGAAGTAGATAAAAAACATTCTAGATCGAGATGGGAAGTGATACAGACAGGGGAGATGAAGTGAGTGACAGTCCTGAATCTGATTAACCACAAATTGGAAAGCATAGGGTAAGAGATTGGGCAAAAAAAACCCCAACAAACTCAGCAGGTACATGATGGAAAATGTTTCTTTAGCCTAAGGAAACATGATTAGGCTGAAAAAATATTTCATGGTGTTTGTCAGATTACTTTAAAATAAGTTGCACTAGTGAGGAATGGTATAGTTCACCCAGATTACTGAATTTCCCATTTTCCCCTCACTGCACTTCATTTGAACTGATTTAAACTGAGGAAACGTTTAAGCTCTTGTCCGAGGATAATACATATTCACTGTAATTGCAGTTTATCTAACTTCTCAATTAAAATGTGAGCTCCTTGAGGGCAATTCTTGTTCACGCTTGCATTCTCACTCTCTGGCACACAGTGGTTACTTTTTCATTTGTTCAACTAAAATTTAGTTTAGAAAAATGGACTTGCACGATTACCATTTCCCCCTTTCAAAGTAAGAATCAATGACTAAAAAGCTTTACCATAGAATTAAATGTTCTCTGCATACAAGATCATTTTGAGCTAGAAACTTCCTGGATTTATGCCTTGCAAAGCTCCAAGGAGCACGGTTCACACAGAATTTGGTGTAAATAGCACCCCCTAGAGGTGCGCGATACACAAGCTGCACAATCAAATATGGTGGGTTTTTGAAAAATTCTCTGAAACTACTAGGAAAATTGACTGGAATGTGTGCTCTTTCTTACCTCTCTTTTCAGGGGCTGGACAAAAGTTTGTATTACAGGCTCGTAGCACTGGAGGTTTCTGTCGGAGCAGACAATTTGAGGAGGGCCGGCCCTGCTGAACACAGTGAACGGATCGGGTCTGAACCCCTCCTCCACAGGTCACCGTGCACTAGAGAGGGGAAAAAGGAAGGAGTTAGAAACATTCAGCTGGAATGTCAGTGATAGCAAAGAGAAGGAATCTCCATGCTTTATGACATTACCAAGATGCTTGCTGATAAAATGGGGTCATCTAGAGCCAGATCTGTGGGCTTACAGTCCAGACTCTCTTCTAACACGTGGGAGCCATTTGATCTGATTAGAAGAGTCTTAGGCTAGTGCTTTCTCACCCAACAGTGTCTCCCAGTTAAGTGACTTATAAAGAAGAGAGCTTCCAGAAATACAGAAGTTTGCCATAAGAATGCAGAAACAAATACAGACACATCTAGGCAATTAATCACAGTATTTAAAGAATTCCAAATAACCTCTGCAGATGCAATAGTGGAGGGAACAGTTCAAAGCTAGGACAGAAATACACAGAAGTATGCTGTCGGTGCTCAGCCAAATTCTGAGCTAGCATAGTGGGTATGGTGCTTCCTAGAAGTCAATGATTTTATTGTTCAATTAGAATATTTTTTATATAGATGACTAACAAGGACTGTTAACTTTCTTAAATTTTCATGTGTGTCTAAAAAAAATAATATTTCATAACCAAAGAATAAAGGGCCATCTTTTTCCTGGATATTTTCTTGTTTAAACTGATTTTGTTTTGCTTGAAAATTTTACTCATGATCCTTATTTTTTTCTTTTATTACAGACAGGTGAAGACTTCATCTTGGACAAGCATCACTATATAGGGACTGGTATTTGGGATGGAAAAATATACATCTTGGCGGAAAGAGTATGAGTTTTAGAATTAGATAAATATAGCTGTATGATTGTTATCAATCCAGGAATTGGCAAACTTTTTCTGTAAAGGTGAGGGTACTGTATTTTAGGGTCTGGGGGCCATATGGTCTTTCTTGCAAATATTCAACTCTGCCTGTGTAGCATGAAAGTAGCCATGGACAGCTCAAACAAATGAGCATGGCTGTGTTCTAATAAAACTTTATTTACAAAAACAGGCAGGGGAGCACATTTAGCATGCTGGCAGTTGCTTACTGATCTAACTACCCTTACAAGAATTAAATTCCAAATCTATTAAATAAGATAATGATAAAAATTTAAAAAAGAAATCCATAGCACTAGGTCTAGCACCTAGTACAGTGCCTAGCTAAGTAGGGAGAGAAAATCATGCTAATTTCCTTTCCTCCATGTTTTACTTCCCAGATCCTCCCAATCGCATACATAGTCAGTTGACCCTTGAACAACATGGGTTAGGAGTGCCGACCCCTGTGCAGTTGAAAATCCATATATAATTTTGGCTCTCCCAAAACTTTACTACTACCTACTGTTGACCGGTAGTTTTACTGATAACAGTCAATTAGCGCATATTTTTGTATGTTATATGTTATATGTGTGCTATACTGTGTTCTTATGATAAAGTAAGCCAGAGAAAACACTAAGAAAATCATGAGGAAAATACATTTACAGTATTGAAAAAAAAATGTATAAGTGGACTTGTGCAATTCAAACCCATGTTGTTCAAGGTTCAACTGTATAGATGCACATATATGTATATGCACAGGGTGCAAAAAAATGTATACACATTTTAAGAAAGGAAAATACTGTATTAAAATTGTGATAGTGAATGATGCTAACATTCATTTGCTTAATGATACTGTTTGAACAAATGTCACATATACACATTGCTAATGTAATTCAATTTAACTTCCAAAAGTAATACATAGATAACATCTCTAAAAATGTGTATTTTTTGGCACCCACAGTATAGCACATGTATGTGTACTTACAAATATATACACACATGCACATATAGAAACATACACGTACACCTGTGCTCACACACATCTGCCCACCCTGTGTTTCATGGTAAAGTGGGGGGCAGCACGTTCTTTGAAGAGCTGTGTATGCAACATCTTTTGGTCGGAATGCTGCAAGGACCAAAACACAGCTTTGGATTCCTGAGGACATGTTCTCTTAGACTGAGCTTCCCATACCAATCCTACAGTCAGAGCCAAACCAGTGTGACCGAAACTTCATCTAAGTCTTCTGAGGAAAAGGTGCCACTATGCGCCGATGAGCTGAACACGCTGGGTGTCCTTGGCTCAGCTGCCTACCTCTGAGCTTTCCTGGCCTCATCCACACACACGGGACAAGAATGCTTCAAGGATGGAGTGCGAATTCGAGACTGCATGGGGAGCACTCAGTGCACAGTAATGGTTTGACACATGCCAGCTGCTATTATATGATTCAGAGACATGACACAACCAAATGAGTCGAGACTATAAGCCGCATACAGAAGGCTCTAGGGGAGGTTTTAACATTAATAGCAGCGGGAAACATTAGCGCTATGTGACAAGGCAGATACTAAATGTTTCACAGTATCTTGTGGAAAAATGTGCAAGATATCTCAATTTTTCGGTGTGAAAATTGAGGCTCACAGATTATGTAACTTGCCCAGGGCCACACAGGTAGAGATGGCCCAGAACCGAAGCCCTTTGTTCTTTACATATGGGCAGGTCTCTAGCAGCAGCCCTGGGTAGACTGCCTCCTTTTCTTTATTTTTTTTTATTGTTAGTTTCAGGTGTACAGAACAATATAATAGTTACCCTTTTCACCCTCACCAGATAACAACCCCCCTCCCCCCATCTATTGCCCTCCCACCCCCGATATCATGCTTATCTATTATAATTCCATTGAATCCATTCCCGCGATCTACTCCATGTCCCGAGACTATATGTATATATATATATATAATTATAGTAGACATACAGTATTATTCAACATCAGTTTCAGAAATACAATGCGGTGGTCAGGCCTCTACATCGTACTGCCTCCTTTTCTTGAGTTGCACTTCAACCTCATAAATCTGTGTGTGCTCACCTGTTGCCATGGTGACGAATACCATCCAGCGGCCACATTGTACACTGGATGGGCTGGACAGGCCCCTCGGTTGCAGGCTTCTTCCAAGTCCAGGTTTGGCTTCTTAATATTGCGGCATCTTCGCTCTGGGAAAGTTATCAGCTTTCCCTGGGAGGCCTTCTCGCTGCATGTCACTTCCCTCTTCCTCACACCCAAACCACAGGTCGCGGAGCACTAGGAGCCAAGAAAAAAAGGCGTAAGTGCGCAGAGCTCCACAGTCAAGTCTGCTGAGCCGATGGGTTCCAACCTAAGGACGTACCATCCAGGTGAAATTAGAGGGAGGGGATGATGGCAGGTCAACCACACCCATGCAAGGATCCTAAAAACGGGGCGCCAAGTCCATCATGTTACAAGTGAAAACACCAAAGGCCAGCGAATTTGAGTCACTCTCCCAAAGTCACAGCTCATCAGCACCATAAAACAAACCAAGGCATTGCCCAGCAGGACCCAAGACATCACATGGATGTGAGTGAGGCAGAGTCCAGAAAAAGAGGAGACGGCAGAGAGGATGAGACCAGGGTCTGTGTAGTGTTTATCTGGATGTCCAGTTTGGGGCTTCAGCACCTGTGGGCCCAGGTCTCCCTGAGTCCTCACTAAGAAGCTGGGAGTGGATGCCAAGGAGGCCGGGCACAGGGGTGAGGAGCAGAGGCAGCTGTGTGGGAAGAACCACCAAATAATTGTCAAATGTACCAACTAATTGTCCTTCATATTTAGTCTCCATCTCTCTTGCTTGAGATGTAACCAGAGGTTGAGTTAGGGCAGGGAAAAAAAAAAAAAAGAAGGATGAAATCAGTGTGAGAAAACTCGTTTTTGTTTTAAGTATTTTATTTTTATTTTTATTTTTTAATTTTTTGTTTGTTTGTTTTTTGGTTTTCTTTTTTTTATTATTTTTTTAAATTATTTTTTGTTTGTTTTTTGTTTTTTTTTTTTAATTGGGGCATTGGGGGGATGGGAACAGTGCTGGGGAATTGGGGGAAGGGGAACAGACAAGTTGCTGTCGTTTTGTTCTTCAGTCTAGTTGTGGAGGATGTTGCTTCACTGGCCCAAGTTGGCACCATCATTGCGCTCTTCCCGGGTGAGGCAGATCAGTCGCCGGCTTCTGGACGGCCGCTCACTGCAACTGCTGGCCGCTCACGCTGGCTGCTGGCTACACACAGTAGCCCATGGCAACCCACTGCCACAGGGGCTGCAGCCTACACCGTCGCCGGCGACTCAAGGCAGCCCAGCTCCAGGTTGAGCTGTTGTTCAGCATCTTAGCTGTAGAGGGCAGTGTCACTGGCCCTTATATGTGGGATCCAAACCGGGGCCCTCTGGCGTCCCAAGCCAGTTCTTAACCATCGCGCCACTCAGCCGGCCCACTGTTTTAAGTATTTTAAAACCGACTATTTCTAATCTGTTACCCGAGGCCCTCATGACCTGTTTTTGATGGGATCAAGTGTGGGGCCATGATGAACTGAGGAAGTAAGAATTGGCATCAGTGCAACAATCAAATAATAAAGGATGACACTGAGCTTCATACAACAGCCCTAGGAGGGAGGTGCAAGTGTTGGCTTTGTTGTACAGACAAGGAAACTGAGGCGAAGCCATGGTAAGTGGGGAGCCCAAGGTCACACCCACAGTACATCCTAAGGCTGCATTTAAAGGGGGTAAGTCTGATTTGAGCCCAAGCACTTAGCCATTAGGGCCTAATGTCTCAAAGAAAATGAGTGAGGAAAAGAGAGAGACATATTGCTATATATTTATTATTTAGGCTTAGTAAAAGGGCATTGATAGAAAGATCCAGTGAACCTCACCGTCACTTTTGACCTTAAGGGCAGAGACTGCTTCTGGCTGGGCTCCTTTGCTCATGGTTCCTGTTTGTGAACTCACCAGAGTTTCCCAAGCCAGAACTCAAGGAGGTGGCTTTAAGCCTTCCTTCTCTGCTACCCCTACTCAGGCCTGAAGGTCCCAGACGGCTGCTCTGGGAACTCTCAAAGATAGGACCTTTCTCCATCCCTGCAACCCTTCCATCGTGGGTCGTCGTTACTGCAGCGCCCAGGCCAGCGCCTTTCCTGCCGCTGGGCGTGCCTGCTTGGTATCGGTTCCCTTCTCTCTGGAACGAAAACCTGCCTGTTCCCCTGCTTAAAATTTTAATTCGCGCTCCATGTTTATGGGATATATTTCTTCGCGCTCCATGTTTATGGGATATATTTCTAGGCTGTTTCCTGATGAAGCTTCCAGCTGCAGCACACGTGGGCTCCATTCTTCCTGAGTGTTAGTCTCTCCCTGATGCACAGTGCACCTTCGCTTCTGGCCCACCTTCCCCGGGTTCCTGCTCCTCCCTCAGGCTTACACTTCCCGGAAAGTCTCTTCTGACCAGGATTCCTCCTGATGGCGGGCTGGGTGGGCCTCAAGCTCTCCCATGGGATTACAGACCCCACCACAGCACTGCACACACCTTCCCTATGTGTCTGTACCAATGCTGTATGAAGGTGTGTCCCGCCTGTGCCCAGGCACTGCCCAATCAGTGCGATGGGCGCTTTATCAATATTTGATGAAGAAAGCAGGAGGGAAGAATTAATAATTAGAAGGGACCTGGTATATGGGTGTGGACCAGAACGAAGCTTTGAGCATCTGGATGCTGGTGGGGAAGCCGAGCGTTCATAAAACCAGCACCCCAAGCCCAGCAGTACATCTACACCCATACCTCACTCCATGACGAGACGACCCACTGTAGCCGGTTGTTTTTGGGGCATCGTCCTAGGACACAGCCCTCCTGTGACTCTGGTCTGGGGCTGCTGGAGCACAGGGTGTCAGGGAGGTCCTCTGCAGTGGCCGGACGCTTACACAGGATCTCACGTTTCCGCACCCCTCGCCCACAGGTCTTGGAACACTGGAGATGGAGAGAAAAAAAAAAGCCATTTGCATGCTAGTTTCAAATGATTTTCAAGTTCTTAAAGAGATACATTTGGTTTTAGTAGTCAAAAAAATAAAGCTTAAGAAGAAAAATACGCGCTCAAAATAATTCCATGTGAAATTTGGGTAAATTCCATGAACTAAAAAGCTCCTTTTCATAAGAAACTCCCCACTCCCCCATTTCTTTTATCCATGCTCATTGTACACATTTGGCTAAAACAGTCCTTTGAATTCTGTAAACTGTAACTCCTAATTGCAAAGAAAGAGGCCAGGCTCAACACGATATTCTGTGATCAATGAATACAGTCCCTCATTTTAAAAGGACACCTAAGCATTCTGGAAGATATTCTTCCCCACTCTCACCTCCTTATTCCCCTAACAGAATTTTTTTTATTAAAAAAATAAAATTCCATAATGTCCTATCTTTAAAAAAAAAAAGAAACCTTGTTCTGACCTCTGTTAGGGATATGGGAGTGCACTGCTAAACTTAATCAGAAATCAACAATATAAGGTGCCCCAAAGGAAAACATGGCAGCGGCTGCTGCCTGGCCCAGAGTTCAGGCGATGAAACCCCTGCATTTCTTGATGATTTCCTAAAATTGTCTCGCCATCCATGGTTTAGCAGAGGGTGGGCTATTGCAGAACAGAGTTCTCGCCCTCGGCACAGTATGGACCAGATTATTCTTGTGTTGGGGAGCTGTCTTGTGTGTAGGAGTTTTCTCTCTACCAACTAGATGCCAGTAGTACCCATCCCCCCCTTGTGAAAATAAAAAATGTCTCCTGACATTGCCCCGTGCCCCCATTTGCGAACCTCTGAGTTGTGAATGATAGGTAGTTCTATGCCTCTTCCAACTTGATAACTTTGTACCTTTCACCGGGAGTTTGTGACAATAGTAAACTTTATACTCTCCTCTCTGTATTCCTTTAACCCCACCTCTTTCACTGTAGCAAGAGTTAGATATCCTTTTTAGGCCTCATTTTTTGTATTTTCTGCTTGCTTTGGAGAATTCAGTAGCCAGTTTGCCTGCCAGTCCTCTGCCACTCAAATCCTGTCTAGCTGTGCTCCCTAGTGTAGCCTAAATGGCCCCCCCCCACTCTAATTTCTGGACTTCTAAGGGTTCCCAAACTGCAGGTTGCATAAAAATCCCTAAAGCGAATTAAAAATTAGCTCAGTGTGATTCCCACAATGGTGTCTACAGCTGAGAGCCTCCAAAGATCCCACCTATATTTTGGGGGGAACAGGACCAACGAGTCTTTCTCCGTTACCTGAGACCAGGGCCCGGCGCTCCACTCTGGAGGGCAGGCATGGCTGTTGCAGACTTGAACTTGAGTGGGTGTGCTCACTGGGCAGAGCGAGTGCAGCACGGCCGCCTCCTTTTGGAAGGGCTTCTTTTGAACACACTGGACTTTCCGGCTCTGCTGGCCCCGCGCGCACGGCCTGCTGCATACACTCCATTCGCCTGGTTTCCAGCTGTCAGTGAAAAGCAAAAGTACGTCCGTGAGACTCTGGCTCATCACTTCCAAAGCAGTTACTGCAAAAAATTAACCACCTGATGAAAGAAACCCTTAGATTAATTTTAGAATCAATGAGGGTGACTCATACTAATTATTATTTTAAAGATTTTGATGCCTACACTAGTATGGTCCACTTATAGGGAGTCACATGTGCCACTTGGAAATCTGGGCAATTCATGCATTCAGCCAAACTTATTGGGCTAACTTTGGGACTCTCCTAGGTATTAGGGTTGGAAAAATGAATGAGGTGATGTTCTTTCCACGAAGGCGCCTACAACACAGTAAGGTGGCAGATATGTTAACCAATAAAGACAATACTTTCTCGTAATGGCCACAATAGAAGTTAATACAAACTGCATTAATGAGACTAATGGAAGATGATCAAATGAGGGTGTGGGTGTGTGTGTGTGTGTGTACACCCATGCAGGAGAGGGGCGCATCAAAGAGGGTCTCACAGAGGATATTTCTAAGTAGGCAGTTCCCTCAACTATTCTGGTTAGTCTTAAAATTTACTGATGGATTAGAGCTATAACCTTGTGTTCTTTATTGAAAGATGGCAAGCCCACCTTTTTCACAGCAGTCTGAGACTTGGTTTAGATTTGAAGGGTAATGAACTGAAACTATTCATCCTTTTCAACAGCTACTTTTGATTCATTGAAATTCTATGATTTGATGGCTTAGCATTAAAAAAAAATACCATATATGACCGTTCATATATTTGAGTCATAGTAGCAATGTCTGAAACTCAGTCTGGTTTACCAAATATTCTAAGAATCATTTTAAAAACTATCACAAATGTTTTTGTTATATCTTTGCATTTCTGTCACCTTTCCTAGTCGTATAAATGTTTTTCTGGTTGCCCCCACAAGCCTGACATGTGAAATTAAAGACCTTTAGCCCAGAGAATTTAGCACATGGGTTCAAGGATTTTATGTATTCTACAACATTGCATAATCCATATTATCTTAGTTAAAGATGATATCAAATAAAATAATTCCTTATGTTTGTACAATTGTTTGTATCTATAAGATGTAAACAAAACATAATGTAAAATTATTTTCAACATCTGCTTATAAAAAAGATGACATTTTGTCTACCAAATTCAAGTTTCCTTTATGTGGCAAAGATGCTGATTTTGTAAAAGTACTAGAAAAACCATAACACAAATAGACATTTTGCATGGCACACATGGCTCCCCACATTTGGGTCTCAAGCTCAGTTTCTACCCAGCCTCATTTCCCACCAATCCCTACCACAGAGCCCCAACTTCTCCAGCGTCCATGTCTCCCTTACTGCTTTTTTATAGATAACTATTTTTTTTAGTATGTATCTCACTGCTTCGCAATTATTTCATTACACATCCAACTCTTCCATTGGGTTGTGGGTTCACTGATGACACACGTCATTCATCTCCAAACCCCAGCCCTCAGCTCAGAGCTGGCATACAGTAAGTGCATATGACATGACTGCTACATGGGGCAATAATGGAGTTCGATCAGATTAATTCCTTTGTCCTCCTAGCTCTAATAGTCTGAGTCTAAACCTTATTTCTAATATATCCCTAGAGAAGCATAGTCCCTGCAAGTCCCCATGATTCCAACAGGAAATAATGAGATATAAATTACAGGGTGGAGAAGAAAGGAAAGCAATCAAAGATCCTGCCCATTTCACCAACCTAACTCGGCAGTCATTGTGAGGGGCTTGTCTGTTACGCAGCCAGTCCACGTGTCATTGCGCACAATGTCATGTCTATGTGGAGTCGTCAAGTTCTAGGAGTTGGGCATGACCTCGGCTCTCTCCCTGTTCATGGATGTAAAAGTGAGTGGCGTCCCTTTCTTTCATTGGCTGAGATAACCAGTGATGGGAAGGAGGCTTAAAGTAAAACATCAGCTTGCCATTCAGGCAAACTCCCAATTCCTACACCTACATAAACACACACACACACACACACACACACACACACACACACACACACACACACACACACACACACACACACACACACCCCACGTAAAGGAGAGATTACTCCACAAGGGTTAAGAACACAGTCTGTTAAACACATCTAGGGCCACATATTTCTTAGAAGCAGATCTTTCTTAGCAAAAGGGGGAAAATCCTTGAAAGCTCCCTCCGCATATTCATTTCTCCTTTTTGTGTTTAGGATTCAGCCGGTTCCAGATTCTAAGAGAAAATCTGGGCTGACAATTGGACATATGGGATTGGTAGATAGCTAAGACCCCAAACAATTATGACAAATACACTATTTGTAAGGAAAAAATATATGTGTAATCTTTTTATAAAGATTGTGCAATATAATTGCATCACCATAAAGCAAACACTGCCTATTAAGATGATCTGAAACATTAGTGAACACAAAACATTGCTTTAGAAGAAACTCTGTCAATTCTATATAAATACATTTGGCAGAAGATAAATCACACAAGAAAAGATTCTGTTTGGCTGGGAAGATTACTTAAAATTAGGTTCAAACAATAGTGTGGCTAAAATCCATCCAAAAACAAACCCACTGAGCTCCCCATAGGGTTCCATCATCAGAAGCGGATTACTACTTGGCCTCTACCCCTTTCTTTTTATTTTGTGTCTTGCTACTGTGTAATTTGCATTTGGGGTTTCATGGTCTACATAGTATTATGATTTTTAAATTCTTAGACAACTATCTAAAGTTAAACACACAACCATATGTAAGCTTAACTAATGTAGGAATCTGTTATTTAAATATCTGCCTTAGTTCAGAAGAGTCTCCATGTAAGGGCTAAAAAAACAAACAAGCAAACAACAACAAAAAAAACAAGACATCTTTCTATCCCGAGGTTAGGTTTGCATAGCCAGAGTTCAACGAATATCTAAAGCAAATTTGTGTTTTTTGAGTTACATATTTTAATCTCAACTACCTTCTTTCTTCTATTAACTTTTTTGGACATTCTATGTTTGTATCACTTTTGATCAGAAGCATTGACAGTAGGGTTTAATTATCTCATACCAATAATAAAGGCATACAAAGTACAAATATAACCAGACAGGCACTTCCAGATGACTTACTAGGCAGGGCAGGAGAAAGCATTGCATACTCTGGGTTCAGTTGCTGGCTTGGTTCTTGCATTGCAGAATGAGGAATTGACTTGAGTATTTTGATCTCGTAAGCAAATGGCCTTTACACTTATGTAACCTAATAAGACATCACAAGTTACAAAGCAGGAAGCACAGATAACCAATTCAATTTCATTTCCAAGTTTAACTTCTGGTTTGTCAGGGTTCTGATATTTTATTTACGATCCACATATTGTGTGAGAACGCCTTCTTTTGATAAAATCTGAAACTAATCTGAATCCCATTTTTCCCCAAGATAATCATTTTCATATAGTAATCATTTTAACGTGTAGCGTCTTCCTTTTCCAGACTGCTGTGAATTCTAGAGCATATAATGGTACATATAACCTTTTGAAAATAGGACAGTTGTAAAGGAAACATCCCACCAACTTTAACTCACATTGCACACATCTAATGGAAGTGTTCTTCAAAGGAAGACCCCTGGTGAATTATGCGTGGAACCTCTAAGATCCTGCTTTTCCATGACGCATCTTTTACTTCCATACCAGTATGATGCATATATAAGCAAAAAGTTGAGCTCACTGAATATGTATTCATACCTGTCAGCTAGGACTCTGGGCTTTTGTTTGTCTGTTTTAGTGGCATCCTGCGGCCTTGCTTTTTCAACGTTCATTTCAGGACCTCTCAGCAGAGGCATAAAATGGTTTTGAAAATAATTATATTTGTCAGCTCCTCAAATCGGAATGCTGCCTCCTCTTTGAATTGCATTTGTTTATATTTACATGGTGCTTTTCCTTAAAATGGAATCTAAGAAGCAATGAAAAGTCCCTCCTGCTATATAACGATTTGGTTGAAGTAGGTTTGCTTTCAGGAGGCACTAATCAGAACCACATTGGGATTCCCTAAAGTTAAGAGTTTACTTCTGGAGAAATAATCATCTGGACCATGCTTCTCATATGCCTCGGAGGCACCACGGTCTGTGAGTCACGTGAAGGGACTGCTGAACCAGGGCAAGAGGGAATCCCACAATGCACTGCTCCAACCACCTCCCCTTGGTTGGATTTAATCCCTGTAAATGGAAAATGGACTGCCTCTATCTCTATCTCCTTCCCAAGGAACTGTGCTCTCCCTGAAATACGAGCAAGTTATTGCAAATGATCTCAAAGAACATTTGATATACAAAAAACTGCTCCTGCTCCAAGACTAAGTAAAAAAGAGTGTAAAGATATGTCTACAGCATACGGTATGTGCCTGAGTGTGTCAAAAACATGTATTTTTATTTGCATAATCAAAAGAATTGCATGATATAGACCAAAGTATTAACATTGGTTATGGCTGATTAAAGGATTATGGGAGATTATTTTTATTCTTTTATATCATATTGTCTTTAAAATGTTTATTAATAAAAATGCATTTTTTTCTTTCTTTTTTTTTTTAAAGAAGTATTTCCTCCTATTTTGTTAATTAGCATGAGCACCTGAAGAACAGGCCTAAGAGTTTCTTTAGTTTCTATATCCCTGTCTGTTTCTGGTTCCAAGATGCCTCATTTGGCTGAGGAGTTAGAAGACCCACTGTCACCAGGTGCTCTGAATATGAGGGAATGAGTGACCACCCTTCATGCTTTGGTTTCATGAACCTATTTCTGGACTTTCCTTCCTTTTCCCCAAGGAGCAAGTGTGACAAAGACTGACTCACACACCAATATGTGATGTTTTTGGATCCCAATAAAATGCCTGCCTTCTACTCGTGGAGAGGATAACTGTTGCTTTTCCTTCCTTACAAGGGTTATTTCTCAGATTGAATCCATCCTTCTACTGAGAGACTTTGCTGACATCACCCCTGAGGGAATGGAATGGCACAGTATCCACATTTCAGAGAGCTGTTTTATGTCTGCCTTGTATGTGTTCTCACTTGTCATGACCTTACCTTCTCTGAGTCCCAGCAGGAGGTTTATAACCACAGAAAAGTCAGGACAGGGAGAAACTAAACCATAAGCTGACAAATACTTTAAATACATAAATATATATGTATATCTTCTTAAATTTATAAATATGATTTTATATATGTCTCCCCATAAGTTTCTGATGTATAACTTGAGTGCTGGTTGTGGTTGACTTGAGTTTTGTTGAGAATTGGTTTCTTTCTACAAAGGAAAATCCTCACATCGTACAATAATATTTGCTTTTTACAGAGATGATTCCCCTAAAAGACAGTTCTTTTGTTGCTTATTTGAACCACACCATTGAAAGGGGCCAGGAGTGAAAGAACCTGTTTTCAGAAGACAGTTGGCAGATGAAATTAAGAAATCAACTACCTCCACCACAGGACACGGAGCAATCGGACTGCACCGTACTCCAGGCGTGGCTGTGTCTTCTCGGGGCTGGCTGGGTTCCATTCATGACCTTGGGAAGCGCGTACTTCCAAGCTATCCCCGGGTTTTTTCCTTGCATCAGAATCTGGACAGCGTAAGATACAAATCAGAGATCGAGATGTAGGTCAGACCCTGGAATTCCAGAAATCTCACTGAACGTTTTAAAGCTATTTGGATGGCATTTTGACCTTAAAGTTGGTTCCCATCATTGTTCCCAAGTATGTTTTATGTTGATTTAAAATTTTCCCATGACACTTTAAAACGTGAAACTCCTTATCATCAAAACTGTGATTTAGATAGATGCTCCGTAGGGAGACATGACTTGACATTTGCCATAAGCCCACAACACTCAACTCTAGGTATAATGTAATAAAAAGTAATTGCATTAATAAAGCATTTTTCTTTTTTACATTATATCGAAGGAAAGGAGGTTATATTAGGAGGTCTTAACCTTCGCATTTAACTTGAAAGCCTAGCGTGGTGACAACACACAGCGGTGCCCTACAGATCAGGGATGAAACTCAATCTACACATATACATTTTCACGACTTATCTTGGGCCACAATTTATAATCCCTCTCCTGGGTGCCAGCAGGAGATGGGCACCAGGGCCACACTCGAAAAACCTTAGAATACCCCACTAAAAATTGCCTACCATCAACTTTGGAATCCAAGCAGATTTCCAACAGGGCTTCCAAAGAAAACTTGCCCAAAGAGAATGTGCTGTTAACTGTGTACCGAGGTAAGCAGATAAGACAAAAAAGAAATATGGAATGGGTTTAACCTTAAAAGGGCAAGGACTTAGGATAAATCTGATCCTATAAGATCTGACTACTAGAATAAGAGCAATCGTTTACTGGCACATTCTAGGCACCAGGCAACTTGCTGGGTTTTTTTCTATGCATCATCTCCAAACATCCCTCTAACAACTCTATAATGTAGCTGCCTATTTTTTCCATTGCAAGAAACCAAGAAGACCTTATCTAACATCCCACAGGTGACTAGTGAATGAGCTTAAAATAGAATGTAGGACCTCCAACAAAATGTGCCTAAACGCTACAATATATCACCTTGTTTTTGGTGCAGGCAAACATTATTTGCCTTCCTTCCTGATTCTCTTTTCTTAACTGTTCCTTTCATCTTTTCTTTCAAGTTCAAAGCATGACTATAAATAGCTGGTTGTCTCTTCCCCATAAGTCTTGTGGAAAATTCTTTACCACCAGAACTGGGCATTCATGCCCAAAGCAGCAAAGCAGATTTTCACTTAAAAATAGAAACCTCTGGCTCTATCTCTGTCTGGTGGGATCCCACCTCAATTAAAGTGGAGTGAGTGGCAGCTGTTCAAGGACCTCCATCATACCAGACCATTCCTTAGGATGCTACAAAATGGTTCCCACTTCGCTATCAGCTTAAATGTCTCCAGGAATATGGCTTACTCTAAAGACCCCATGTTGTTGATGCCGTTTGTTGTACCGGGAAAAAAAAAAATCTTGGTGCCTCCCAGAAACAATCAAAATGTTAATAGATGGGTTTCCCTCACTCCCATCCAAAATAAAAACAAAACATAATACAACACATAGTACCATTAAAATGGACAAATGCAAATTTCTCACTAGCCACCAATAGAAACCTTCTCAAAATCAAGGTCCTAGGGGTCTTTTAGTTCTGAAGATCTTTCTAGTCTTTGCTTTTCTTATTTTTGCAGCTAAATCATACAACTGTTCTTGGAATCATGTGTTCAATTATGTTATGTTATAACATTTCACACATTTTGAATAAATAGCATGCTTTCCACATTTGAGATTTTTGCAGTGTTTCTGTTAATGTCTTCATGTGATGTTAAGTAAACAGACAATTTAGACTTTTATTTACAAACTAGAATTGTGAGAGAAGTTTTATATTCACAAGATAACCTTGATGTTCACTGATATTTCAACTCAATTTCTCCTTCAATTAAAGTAGTATCTCAAATGCAACACTTCTGGTTGCTTTTTTTTTTTCATGCACTAGGAATGCAGAGCTCTTGTTGGGGAGAAATAATGCAGTGCACACCACACATACATGTGTGGTAGTCAAATACAGGTGAAATGCATAGGAGATCAAGTGAGCTAAGGCTCATAGGCAGGATGATATTATACTGTAATATCAGTGGAGCGGCATCACGCATGCAAGTAAGGAAGGATATTCAAGTGTAAGTGTGACATGGGAAGAAATCCACTCACTTATCTCCACTTCCTAGGACCCTCCATTTCCCCCATTCAAACTAGATCCTGACTTTTACTGCCTTGCCATAGGAGAAAGTGATTCCCAATGGAAAGGCAAAGAAAATTAAAAATAACATTAGTTCTTGCCTTTGGGATTGTGAGGACTTGTATTCAGGTGATTTAACAGTGGTTTCACACATTTTCAATGTGCATTTAAAATATATTCTACTTGCACCTTTTAGACAATTTGTAGAACTTAAGCCATACATGGCATGTGATTTGACTCTAAATTATTTTTAAATGTTTCTGTGAACAGGATGCATTAAAAAAAAAAAAGAGGGCCGGCCGAGTGGCATGATGGTTAAGAACTGGCTTGGGACACCAGAGGGCCCCGGTTCGGATCCCACATATGAGGGCCAGTGACACTGCCCTCCACAGCTAAGATGCTGAACAACAGCTCAACCTGGAGCTGGGCTGCCATGAGTCGCCGGCGATGGCGTAGGCTGCAGCCCCTGGGGCAGTGGGTTGCCATGGGCTGCCGTGTGTAGCCAGCAGCCAGCGTGAGCAGCCAGCAGCCGCAGTGAACGGCCGTCCAGAAGCCGGCGACTGATCTGCCTAGCCCGGGAAGAGCGCAATGATGGTGCCAACTTGGGCCAGTGAAGCAACATCCTCCACAACTAGACTGAAGAACAAAACGACAGCAACTTGTCTGTTCCCCTTCCCCCAATTCCCCAGTACTGTTCCCATCCCAATTCCACAATAAAAATCTTAAAAAAAAAAACGAGACTGTGAAGATCAAAGTGTCATCACTACTGAACAAACAAAAACAACCAAGATGTCAAGTTTCCCAGGGTTTCCAGTAAAGCCAACCACAAAATTTATCAGTTCCACTAAGAAGAGAATTGAGACCATCTCCCCCCCGCGAACCTGTTTCTGCATTCGCGCCCACCTGCTCCTCTCCTTCTGTTACCCAAGATGCCCCGTCCTGGCTCCTGTCTCGTCCAGATTGTCCCTCATGCACCAGATCCCATCTTCTGTCACCTACTTAAGGACATCACTACTAGAGTTGACCTCTCTTTCCTGAGCCTTCTGAAATGTCCCTGTTTATTGATCATTCCCATCAGCATCCAAATAGACTATTATATCTCTCATCTTAAGAAAAAAATTATCTTATCTCCATATAGCCTTCCAATGCATGCCCTATTTCACTGTTTCCCTTTATAGCAAAAAAACAAAAACAAAAAAACAAAAAAAAAACCTCTAAGAGTTGCCTTTACTCTCCATCTCTACATCTTTCCTTATTAGTCCACAAATCTTCTCTGTCAGGTATTCCCCGCCACCCCCATCACTGAAACTACTCTTTCAAGGGCACCTTGTTGTAGCCAATAGTTGATAGGCCTCGTCTTACTCAACCAATCACCAGCATTGGAATAGTTGATCACTTCCTTTCTTTGCCACCAGAAACCCATTTTCCGAGTTCTCTTCCTGACCCGCTGACCTTCATTTCTAGTCTCCTTATCTCCTAATTGTTTGATATCAAAATGACCTCCAACCTCTTGACCTCTGCTCCTATTTACCTATACTCACTTCTCTAGGGGATGGCATCTAGTCCTGCAATTTTAAATACCATCTACATGGCGACCACTTCCAAATCCATAACTCTACACGAGCCCTTCCCAAGAGAACTTTCTGCAATGATGACGACGTACTGCGATCCTGTGTTGTTCCATGTGGTAACCACAGCCCCGCGTGACCACTGAGCACTAGTGTTCTCATGCGATTGGAGAACAGAACTTCACACGTCAATTATTTAAAATCTAAACTTAAATAACCATGTGTGGAGAGTGGCTACCATATTAGACAGTACAGTTGTAGATGCAGTCCATTTTCTGACTTCCATACTCATATGTTCAACTGCCTACTTAGCATCTATACTTGAATGTTTAAAAGGTGTATCCACGTCCAAGACTGAACTCATGATTTTCCTCCCTGTTCTTCCCAATCTCATAAAATGGCAGCCCAATCCTTGTAATTGTTCAGGCCAAACTGAAAAGTTGGAGGCACCCTGAGGTCCTGCCTTTTTCTTATACTCCACAGCTCACCGATCAGGAAATGGCACTCTCTTTACTTTTAACATATTCCAAACCTGACCATGTTTCACTTGATCTATTGCTCCTGCTGCTGCCGTAGTCTAAGCTGTCATCACCTCGTTTGATTTCTGTGGTCATGGAACTTTAGAGGCGAGGAGAAGGCCTACTCTCCAGGGGGAGAAATGGGACAGGACAGGTCCACACTTAAAAACAATACAGTGACCATTACTGAAAGGGTTAAAAACATAGAGCCATAAAACCTGCAAAGGAAAAACAAATGCTTCTGTGAAGATGGGGGAGGAGATCACATGACCAGGGAAGCTTTGTAGCTGTCATTTAATTAAGAAAGTATCTGGGTGGATGATTTCAGCAAAAAAGCCACAAAACAACAAAAGAGAACTTAAGTTTTCTTTGAGGATTTCTACTCCCCTCAAAAGGACAAACTTGTATATTGAGTTTCCCATCTGCCTTCCCTCATAGCTTAAACAAAAACATGTAAAGATCCCCTGAAAAGTCAAATTCTTGAGCAAAAATTAAGAAAAGTAGCAAACAGAATACTTGCTAGCAAGAAGGCAACAAATCCATTTCGTATCATCAAAGGTAATAAGAAGTTTACTTATCCAGCCAAAGCAAGGAGAGAAATAACTTGAACAATTTACTGTAAATGTTCACAGGATTATGCAACTTTAAATTACTAACTCATAAAATATACAGTGACTAGCTATTGCTGTATTACTATTACAGTTTTATAGTCACTGGCATGTAGAACATATTTACATTTTGTTTGTTGAA